TCCAGCTGCGGCCTCACCAAGGCCAAGTACAATGGGAAGATGACATCCTGAGATTTACTTGAGGAGCAACTATGGATGCAAGCCAGGGTTTTGTTTGCTTTACCAGCTGCGACATTGCATTGGTGGCTCGTGTTCATCTTGTGGTCAATCATGACCCCCAAGTCTTTTTCAGCAGTGGTGCTAGCAAGCATAGCACTGCCAGACCTATAAGTATGCTGCGGGTTTTTTCCCTTGAGGTGGAGTACCTTGCATTTATCAGTATTGAACATCATCAGGTTTGTGTCCACCTACTTACTAAGCTTATCCAAGTCAGCCTGGATCACTAGCCTGCCGCCAGGTGTGGATGCTGTGCCCCAAAGTTCACTGATGACACTAAACTTAGCCAGTGCACTTCTGACACCAGTGTCCACATCGTTGATAAAGATGTTGAAGAGAACTGGTCCAAGGATAGAGCCTTGGGGGACGCCACTGGTTACGGAGCGCCGTACTGACTCGCCGTGATCAACCACTACTCTCTGGGTCTGACCTCGGAGCCAATTTCCCAGCCATCGGACTGTGGCGTAGCCGAGGCCACAGTTGGCCAATTTTTCCATGAGGTCATGGGACACCAGATCAAAGGCTTTTTTTGAACTCCAGGTATATGACATCAGTCTCTTCTCCCGTGTCCAGGTGATATGTCATCTGGTCATAGAAGGAGATAAGATTGGTTAGGCAAGACCTACCCGTGACAAACCCGTGCTGGCAATCCTTCAAGATGTTGCCCCCAGCCACCTTATCCAGAAGGGTCTCCTTGATAATTTTCTTGAGAATCTTACCAGGGATTGCGGTCAAGCTGATTGGTCTGTAATTCCCGGGATCTGCTTTCCACCCTTTCTTGAAGATGGGTACCACATTGGCCTTCCAGTCTTCAGGTACTTCACCTAAGCGCCACAAATTTTTAAATATTTTTGCCAATGGTTGGGCTATGACACCTGCCAGCTCCTTGAGTACCCTAGGGTGTAATCTGTCAGGACCAGCTGACTTGAAGGTGTCCAGCCTCTCAAGGTGATCCTTCACTAGATCAGCACCGATGCTGGGTATAAACATGCCCTCACCCTGGCTGTCCCGCGTATTGCTAGGCAGGGAGGTCCCATTGGACTGAAGAAAGACCAACGCAAAGTACCCATTAAGCAGGTTGGCTTTTTCCTGGGTGTTGGTTATCAGTTGTCCCATTTGGTTCAGCATGGAGCCAATGCTACCCTTGATTCTGACTCCCTACATATCTGAAAAAGGACTTTTTGTTATCCTTGATATGTGAAGCCAGATGGAGCTCGGTTGCAGCCTTGGCTTTCCTGATCCACTCCCTGCAGGTACAGACCAGTGCTGAGCAATCCTTGGTGGTAATTCCGACCTTCCATCCTTTATAAGTCTCGTTTTTGAGGCATAGGAGGTCCTTGAGTTCCCCGCTGAGCCAAGGGGGTTGCTGCACCCTTCCTCTGAGATGGGATGGCCATCCCTTGTGTTGTCAGGATCGCTCCCTTGAGGAGCAACCACTCGTTTTGGACTTCTCTTCCTGGTCGTGGTCGTGCAATCCTTGGTGGTAATTCCGACCTTCCATCCTTTATAAGTCTCGTTTTTGAGGCATAGGAGGTCCTTGAGTTCCCCGCTGAGCCAAGGGGGTTGCTGCACCCTTCCTCTGAGATGGGATGGCCATCCCTTGTGTTGTCAGGATCGCTCCCTTGAGGAGCAACCACTCGTTTTGGACTTCTCTTCCTGGTCGTGGTCGTGGTCCCTCAGAGCATTGACAATGAGCCTCCTGAGCTTGTCAAAGTCAGCTGTCCTGAAGTCGAGGACTTCAGTATTGCTGACTGACTGGCCAGCTTTGCAGTGGATAGTAAAGGTGATCAGCTTGTGGTCACTATCACCCAGCTTTCCATCGATTCTTGGGTTCCTGACTATGTCATCCCCTTTGGCCAGTACCAGGTCCAACAACACTTTACCTCTTGTCAGCCCATAGACTTCTTGAGTCAGGTAGAGCTTGTCCACATGTGAGGAAGCTTAGCAACCACTCGGATTTGGCCGAGTGCTCTTCCCATGAGATGTCCAGGTCGTTGAAGTCTCCCATGGCAACCATGCACCAAGAGTTTACAACATCAGCCAGTTCCCTGGTGAATTCCTGGTCCAGCTCTTGTTTCTGGTTAGGAGGTCTGTAGTAGACTACTACTATGATGTCCCCTGTGCCACATTCCCCACATATTTTGACCCAGAGAGACTCCAGTCATCCCTCCTGGGTGCCAGTGTCAATTTGGAGGGATGTGTAGCTGTCCTTGACATAGAGCCACACCCTCACCCCTTTTATCTGCACGAGCATGCCTATGCAGGGTATAGCCATCTACACCTGTGGCCCAGCCATAGGTGGAGTTCCACTAGGTCTCCATTATCCCTATGAGGTCATAGTCATTCTTATTTAGTAGCAGGACCAGTTCCTCCTGTTTATTCCCCAAGCTCCTGGCATTGGTGTACAGGCAGGCAAGTGTCCCACTGGGGGGGCTTTGCCTTCCCCACAGATAGTTCTGGGGCTAGGGTAGGGGTGGGTTCCCTTAAGTGCTTTAGCCTGCTAGATTTACAAGGGTTGCCCAGTGGGCTAGCAGTGTCAATAATCCCCCCAACCCCTGGCAACCTTAGTTTAAAGGCTGGTTGAGCAGGTCTGAGGTTCTGAGTTTAAAGGCTTAGTTTAAAGGCTGGTTGAGCAGAACTGAGGTTCTTCTCAGTCTGGCTGAGAAGAACCTCCTCCCCAGCGGAGTGAGGTGGAGGCCATCTCTCCCTAGCAGACCACTACCTCTCTCACCAAAGAGCGGACTGTGATCGTGGAAGCCAAAGCCTTCATGATGACACCAGCACTGCAGTCTTTGGTTGACTACCTCAACCCGTCTGTCCTTCCTCAGCCCATGACCCACAACTGGGAGGAGCGAGGAAAAGACCACCTGCACCCCCAACCCCCTAAGCTCCTCTCCCAGCGCCCTGTAGTCTCTCATGACCCAGCTGGTATTGGTCCGAGCCGTGTCATTTGTGACCACATAGATAAAGAGCATAGGGTAGTGGTTGAAGGGCCGGATAATCTTTGGTATCCTCTCTGCTATGTCCTTGATGTGGGCCCCCGGGAAGTAGCAGACCTCCTGGGCTAGGGGGTTGGAGCAGGAGATTGCTCCCTCAGTCCCCCTCAGGAGGGAGTCTCCCATGACGACCACTCTGCATTTCGTCTTAGGGAGAGTAGGGGTGGGTGATCCTCCCTTGACTGTAGGAGCTGGCATCTCTGCAGGCTCAGCTGGGGCTGCAAGAGGTTCGTACCTGTTGCAAAGCCCCAGAGGGGAGGGGATCTTGGTGCGGCGGGCCTTGGGGCTCTTGACCACCTTGGTCCAACCCCCTGGTCGGATAGTATGGGAGATCCCAGAGTCCTCCCTTGTCCTGGGAGGTGATGTTTGTCTACCCCCTGCCTCCAAGGGGTGAAGGGCCTGGCAGTAGGAGTCAATCTCCTGCTCGCCCTCCCTGATGGCACACAGTCTCTGGACTGCAGCCTGGAGCTCCTCTATTTGGTGCCCCAGAGACTCCAAAATAGAGCAAATCCATCAAGGGGAGGTGGCCATGTTCCTGGTCCCATGAGCCTGGAAACGTGCCAGGCAGCCCCCGCAGCCGAGAGCCAGGGACTCCATCTGCTTGGAGCCCGGAACCACGGTTTCCGTCTGGGTGAAGGCCTCTGAGGTGCCAGAAGGGGAGGCTGCAGACTCCAAGGGGACCCTCGGGGTGCGGCGTATGCCCATCTGCATTGTGCTGCTGTAGGCTGGCTACTGATGGGACTGTCTACCCTAGGGAGCTCACTGGCAGGGCTGTGGCCCTCCCGCTCACCCTCCGGCACAAACTCCTGCACTAACTCATGCGCCAGCCCCAGAAGCGTGCCTGTTTGTGTGTCCTGTCCACGAGGCTCCGGTTGCATAGCTCCCTGTGGGGCTGGGCGAAGGAGGAGCCAGAGGGGGGGCATGACTCTCCTCAGCTCCCATTCAGCTGCCTCCCTGCTGGCTGTGTCCCTCCCACCACGGGCCCCTGCTTACCGGCAGGCAGGCCGGGGCTCGTTGGGGGTCCTGGGGTCTCTCTTGGGCTCACAGGGGGTGCAGCAGGCTTTCACCTGCTTGTCTCATGCTGGAGCCAGGGCCCGATCTTTCTTGGCCATTCTACAGAGCTCCTACATCAGGAGCTAAGGATAACTTGGTTCCTCTAAATCTGCAAACGCTGGCAAGCATGGGAAGTTAATTCCCTCTCTCTCCACAAAATAATCAATCTTTTGTTTGGTCTTTAGTCTCATTTTCAGGCTAATATCACAATTTTGGTATGGTCTGACTCATGATTTTTAATTTTTGAGTCTGGCAGTACTGTTTAAAATATAGAATGTTTTTAGATTAGTTATACGGATATCCAGTATACATTTTACTTGGAAATCATTTAACTTCGCTGAATCAAAACTGATATTCTCTGGACCAGTGCGAGGGGAAAAAACCTTTATGACGTTTGGGTTGATTTCAATACTAAACATTGTTCTCTTTACCTGTAACTGACGTAAAGCATTCCTTAATTAATACAACTTAGCAGAAAATTTGTGCTTTTTAACTTTATTTTTAAAAAATCACCAGGCATCCCAAGTTACATTTTCAGGAGAAAGTGATCTGTGATACAACTTGTCTATACGACTTTTCAGCTGAAAAGATAGAATGTTGAAAAAATTACAAGAAATTAAGAATTATTTATTAGGATGTAATTTTTCTCAATCATCTACAAATGTCACAATGTCTGTAATTATAAAGGGACTGTACAGAAGGTACAGCTCCTGGCGGTCATACCTAGAGACGCAATTTCTATTATTCTGATTGTGAATATATGCCTCTTTTTGAACTGACTCTGCGTGTGTATTCCTTTTTAGTATGGCCTTCAGAGAATTTCATATACAAGAATGAATCTTCTTTCTATTTTAGCATATTGAGGCATTTAAAAAAAAAAGGATCCCATGCAAATCAAACTGGAGCATTTAGAACAAGGATTTTCTCTTTATGTAAATGGTGCTAATTCAGAGCTGAGAAACTACCCCAGAAAATCCAGCTCACAAGCCTCTCTCAGAAGTGAGCTAAAGAGTACAAAGAGAAATGGTGAGTGGCAACTAAACATAATTTCACAGTGATTGAAGTCCAGTATTATTTTAAATATTTTAAATATTTACTTTTTAAAACAATATATTTATTATTGGCATGACTACTGAGCTGCATGGAGGTCACACTGTGGCAGAGAGACAGGGCTTGGACAGATGTTCAGTTTCTCCAGGGAGAGTGACTGCTGTCTCCAGAGAAACCACAAGTATGCAGAAATTCATAACTTTTCTCCCAGAGTAAAACTGTCCACTTGGGGAGATAAATAACTTGGGAATAACCTAAGTGAAGTAGCTCCCCAGAGGACATCTCTCTGGAGAGAGAACTTTTGTACAGGCAGCAGACATAGGGCCGACCTCCTCAATCCCAGTGTGCTTTGCTTACTTCTCCTCATTCCGACAGAGGGGAGAGAGAGTGTGTGTTAGTCTTAGCCAAGCAGGGAGCAGAACATACCCCCTGAATGCTTTGAGATAGAAAAGCTGAAGCAGTTAGGGGGCATGTTCTGCTCCTGGCTTGTTTCCTGCCTTAGTCACATTGCAGCACTTAGGTGCAGGGAAGTATTACAAGCATATGCTCTGCCCAGTCTTAGCTAGGCCCCAACACAGAATGTGGGAGGGGAAAGGCTCTTCTGTGCACAGCACAGATCCTGCCCTCATTTTCCCTGACAATCCCTGCCTACATTCACTTACAAAAAAGCCTGCAAAGCACTCTGGGCTGCAAGTTTTAAGGACTCCTAGTAGCCGTGTGTCCATACTGCAGGCTCTTTGCTTCTCTGTCTGAACTTCTGTACAGGTCAGTTTTTCTCTGAGGAAAACAAACCTGGGAGAGTTGCCCTGGATGATTTGAATGTGTGTACACAGCCACAGTGGTAGCTGAATCTGGTGTAAGAGGCTCCATGGTGCTGCTTCCTCAAAATCCCTATATAGAGTACAGATACAATTCAGCTAGAAGCTTGGTTATTACTCAGCTTACCTTTAGCTGATTCAAATATTAAATGCAAACTGGATCTTAAATATGTTCATGACCAAACTAATGTTGTTAAATAAACTTGGGTATCTAATTTGCTACTTCCTGGACTGATATAATTGTATTTGCAGTATACACAGGGTACAGATTTCCTCCCCTTCTTTGCATCCCTGCCCCCTTTCATACTTCACTGTAGCTGGACCACAAGACTGGACATACTTATAATCTTGTAGTAGGAAATAACTAACTGTTCCTCTTCCCGGTGTACTGCTATTCAGTTTAATAGATTTTTTTAAAGTTAGAAAGTATTATCATAATCCTCTAATCAGAACATCTACATAACATAGGGCCATCAGATTTCACCCTGGTCTTGCTGCATTAGCTCCATAAATTCTGGTTGAGTTTGAACTGTTAGAAAGACTTACAACTCCTATTTAAAGATGTCAAGTAATGGAGAATCTACCACATCCTTTAATAAGTTGTTATAATGGTCAGTTAGCCTCACTTAAAAATGGGCATCATATTTCCAAGCTGTAGACTGGATTTGATCACCCAGGATGGGAGGACTGGACTTGATGGTCTGTGAGGTCCTTTGCTCTCTTTGTTCCTACATACCTTGTAGATAAAGCCATAATGAGATTGAAAAGATGGAAGCTGAAGCTCAAATTCAGAGTTCTGTGTTATCAATCTTCTTTTCAAGTAGGTACTTACTGACCAATAAAACCACTTCATAAATTATGAATCCTGATGCATAGATTTTGTATCAGAAGTTGGTGCACTAAAGTTGAGCTCCTTATGTCTCTTACTGGAAGGTGGGATATCCAAGGCTGTATTCCACAGAATGGTTACACCTTTTTTCCTAGGGGAAGGATCGCATCTGTTAGCAGGCTATTACAATACTTCTATTGACCTAAGCACCTGCTTAACCCTTACTTGAGCAGTTAAATTATATATTTTTGTCCTTAGAATGTATGAATCCAGTAGGATTAAAGTTCCATTAGCTCTGACCAATCTGGCTAGATAAATTGCTGCTGCTAAAATAATTTTCTTAGTCATTGATCTGGCCACATCACCTCTCTCTGTGTCCTTCACTGACTCCTCTTTCTCTACTATCCAAAAGCATAGATTCATAGAAGTAGGGTCAGAAGGGACCTCGTAGATCATCAGGTCCGACCCCCTGCCCTGGGCAGGAGAGAAAACCGGGTTCAAATGACCTCAGTCAGGTAGACATCAAGTCTCCTCTTAAAGACCCCCAGGGTAGGAGCCAGCACCACTTCCCTTGGAAGTTGGTTCCAGATCCTAGCTGCCCTGACTGTGAAGTAGTGCCTTTGCATGTTCAGTCTAAACCTACTCTCTAACAACTTGTGGTCGTTATTCCTTGTTACCCCAGGGGGTGCTAGGGGGAACCAGATCTCTCCCAAACCCTGCTGGTCCCTGCTAGTGAGTTTATAGACGGTCACCAGGTCCCCCCTCAGCCTTCTCTTGTGAAAGCTGAACAGGTTCAGGTCCCGTAGCCTCTCTTTGTAGGGTCTGCCCTGCTGTCCCCAGATCATGCAGGTGGCCCTCCTCTGGACCCTCTCAATGCTGTCCATATCCCTCCTGAACTGCGGCGCCCAGAACTGAACACAGTACTCCAGCTGCGGCCTGATCAGTGTCACCTAGAGGGGGAGGATCACCTCCTTGGCCCTGCTTGAGATGCATCTGTGGATGCACGACAAGGTACGGTTAGCCCTACTGATCGTGACCTCGCATTCTTGGCCCATGTTCATCTTGGAGTCATTAACGATTCCAAGATCTCTTTCTGTCACTGTGCTCCTGAGAAGGGAGTTTCCGAGCTTATAAGGGTGCTGCTGGTTCCCACTGCCCAAGTGCAGCACCCTGCACTTGTCAGTATTGAAACCCATCCTATTTTCGTTAGCTCACCCCTGTAACCTGTCCAGGTCCTGCTGTAATCTGTCTTTCCCTTCTAGCGTGTCCACCTCGCCCCAAATCTTGGTGTCATCTGCGAATTTAAACAGGGTGCTTTTCACCCCCTCGCCCAAGTCGCTAATGAAATTGAACAGTGTGGGCCCAAGGACTGAGCCCTGGGGGATTCCACTGCCCACTTCCCTCCAGGTCGAATATGACCCGTCCACCACCACTCTCTGAGTACGACCCCTCAGCCAATTTGCAATCCATCTGACTGTGTAGGCATCAATGTCACAGTCACCTAGTTTTTTGATGAGAATGGGGTGGGAGACAGTGTCAAAGGCCTTGCTGAAGTCCAGAAAGACTACATCCACAGCGACACCTGCATCCAATGCTTTTGTGACCTGATCATAAAAGGCACCCTTTTGAAACCATGCTGGTTGCCCTTGAACATCATCCCTGCTGCTGGCCCATCAGAGATTTGCTCCTTGATAATCTTCTCAAAGAGTTTCCCCAGGATTGAAGTAAGACTAATGGGCCTATAGTTGCCTGGGTCCTCCCTTTTCCCTTTTTTAAAGATGAGGACCACGTTGGCCTTCCAGTCATCTGGCACTTGGCCAGAGCACCACGAATGCTCGTAAAGCCGTGCCAAGGGCCCTGCAATAACCCCTGCCAATTCCCTCAACACCCTAGAGTGGAGAGCATCTGAACTTGCTGATTTGAACACGTCTGGCGCCTCCAGAAGCTCTCTAACCCGGTCCTCCCCGACCATAGGCCTGGTGGCGTTTCTCCCGAGTCCATCTGGAATCTTGGTCAGGGAGTCCCGGTTCCTGCACAAGAAAATGGAGGTGAAGAATTTGTTTAAGAGGTCTGTTCTCTCCTCTGGTGCAACCACCAGATTGCCAAGCATATCCTGCAGGGGTCTCACATTACCTGGCGCCTTCTTCATTCTCCCTATACATTTAAAAAAGGACTTTATTATCTTTGATCCTTGACGCTAGCCCTAGCTCTATGTCTGGCTTAGCTTTTCTAACAGCCCCCCTACAGACCTGAGCGGTGGAGGCATACTCCTCTCTGGTGATGGCCCCTCCCTTCCACCAAGTGTATGCCTCCTTTTTGGCAGTCAGGCATTCACGAATGTCCTTGGTGAGCCAGGGGGTCTTTTGGGCATGCTTGCCCCCTTTGCTTCTTGTTGGGATTCTCACCCCTTGGGCTCTAAGTATCGTCTCTTTAAGGAACGACCACTCATCTTGGGCACTGAGTTCCCCTACTCTCGAGGACCCCAGTGCCTCTCCCACTAATGTCCTCAACTCATTGAAGTTGGCCCTCTTAAAGTCTAGGGCTACTGCCTTGCTGCAGGCCCTTGACACCTTGCACTGGATGGTGAATTCCAGCAAGCGATGATCACTATCGCCCAGGTGGTTGAGGACCTGGAGCCCTCTTACCAGGTCATCACCTGTGGCCAGGACCAGGTCCAGCAGGGCATTGCCCCTGGTAGGACTGTGCACCTCCTGGGTTAAGTGGAGGTCCTGTATCTTGGCCAGGAATCTCCATGAGCAGTCTGATCTGGCTGACTGCTCCTTCCAGCAGATGACCGGGTAATTTAGATCACCCATGACAACTACATCCCTTGCCTTAAGTGCCTCTGCAAGCTGACCCGAGAATTTGTGGTCCAGCTCTTCCCCTTGGTTGGGAGGTCTGTAGTAGACCCCCACCATTAAGTTCCTTTCCCCACGACCCCCGTGTATCCTAACCTAGAGCACTTCAGCCTGCCCCTCCTCTGACCCCATCCTGCTGGTAGAGGATGTGTATAACTATTTGTCTTCACCTTTAAACGTGTTCATGACCTAACTCCACCCTATATTGCTGCTCTAATACATTCTGGGGCTGACTGGGCACATCTACATGAGACACTTTAGTGCGCAGTAAAACGTCAGCAGCATCTAGGCAGGCAGTTACTGCACGGTAAATTACTCTATTGTGCAGTTAGTTTGCAACCTGCAAATACATGTGTAGATGCTGACTGGGAATAGATTTGCTCCCAGTTAGCCCCCCCACCAGGGGGCCACCCTTAGGCTTGCCCCAGAGGCATGGGCTTGGAGTTTTTCCACCCCAGGGCTAGGACAGCTCTTTGCCTGCCCCAGCCTAGCCTTTAAACTCCTGGCATGCCCCCAGGGCCTGTGCCACCTGCTGCCTGCCTCTGGCCATTGGGTCCCACAGCAGCAGCTCCATGCTGGCTGCAGCAGGCTCACAGAACCCAGAGGTGGCCCCTGAGCCAGCTCCACCACCTCCCCCATGCTGTGCCCCTATGCTGCAGGCATGTGCCGAGACCCAACAGCATCCAGTCTCAAGCAGAGCCTCCAAGGGCCATTGAAGGAGCTATGATACCTACTCCCTGCCACCTGAGTGGTCAGTTAGGATCAGCTAAACCTTCACCCCTTCCAGCATAAATCCCAGACCCAGACAAGGAAGTGCATGGGCATTGAGGCTCAACTTTGTATCTAGGCTGTTCACCCTTGTTTTGTGCTGCCTATGCTGATGGACTTGCTGGATATTTGACCCAGCTTGCCCACGGACCCTGAGTTTGGCCTGATCTTTTGGCTCCCTGACCAAACTGTGGTATGATCTCTTGGATACCTAACCTGACTAGACTCCTGATCTTGTGCTCTGCCTGACCCTCTGGATCTCTGACTTCATTCCCCAGACAGATCTCTTGGCTTTTGGCTTCCTGGCTTCCCGACACATGGAGTCTGCACACTCCCCTTGGATCTTGACTGCTTCTCTTGACCCTGGGTGACCCTAAGACATGGCTGCCCATGGCTTGGTATAACAAGATCTGCCTACAAACAGGAACTAAAGCATCTAAATTATTTCCAAGTCACGTCTCTAGTTAGTTTAGTTACCTCTTGAGCTTGGTCTCTGGCATGTCTGAGTGCACTACAGAGGGCACCCTCAGTTAGATATCACTACCTCATTTTAATGCATGTAGAGTGGAAGCAGTGTTTGCTCTTTTGAATAATCTTTTGCTCTTGGCAGAGCTCTCAGAAGGGTGCTGTAAAAACACCCTAAGGTCAAGCTGTCCCTGGTGTGCCATAATACTCCATTGACATGTCCGACTCTCAACTACTTTACAAAAATTTCTACGCTAAAAAAAAAATCGGCAGTCGCCTGTATTCAATAGTATGGTCTTGAACACATGTCCTTGGCCGTGGATCAGTATAAAAGAAAAGTAGAATAAGGATTATTATATAAGGACACAAGGAGTGTGTCTACATGTGCATTAAGGCACTTTTCCTAGTGCACATTAAATTTAGTACTTCCAGTATGAAGTAGTAAAGCAAGGGCAGGCAATTATTTTGGGCGGAGGCCGTTTACTCAGTTTTGGCAAGCTGTCGAGGGCTGCATGGGTAGCCCCGCACCTTGACAGGTGCCTCGACCCCTGGTCACCATCTTGGGACCATTGTCTTAGGGCCAGAACTGGTGGGACCCAGAACGGGGCACAGGCTGGCAGGGGTCTGTGGAGCCAGGCTGGGCTACACCAGCAGGGAGAGTGGGGAGCTGGCCCGGCTCCATAGAGCCCCTGCTGGCCGGGACCCTGTACTCCTGCCACCCTGCTCTGGACCCTGCTGGCTCTGGCCCGGGGACACCGGTGTGGGCCCTGTGCACCCGCTCACTCCCAGTGCCCCCCAGCCCTGCAGTACAGGTTGGTGGCGCTGTGCAGCCCTGACACCGTGCTCCCCAGCAGGGAACGAGCTGGCGCTGAGCGTGGGGGAAAAGCAGCCCCTCACCCGCCCCATGGCCGGCATTCCCTGCTGCAGCTGCTCACAGCCTGCACAGGACTGTTCTGAGCAGGCGCAAGCAGCCCCACATGGGCTGTGAGTGGCTGCAGTGTGGGGTGCTGGCCACGTGGTGGGGGAGGGCTGTTTTTCCTTGCGCTCAGCACCTGCTTGTAACCCACCACTGCTGCCAGCCTGGGCCCCATGCCGGCTCCGGGCTTGCCCGTTGGGGCTGCACCACAGCCGCAGAGCCCTCTGGCTTACCGAACCGGGCAGCGTTTGCCACCACTGCCTCTGGGCTGGCCAGTGCATGAGCTCCAGGTGGGCAGCAGCAGTAGCAAGCACTGCCTGGTGCAGCAAGTGGCAGGGGAGGGCCCTCTTTTCCCCAGGCTCAGCTTTTCCCTGGGTTCCTTCCCTGCCTGGGCTCCTCCCCTTCCCTCTCCCCACCACTTACCTGAGTTTCTGGCGCCAGCTCAGCCACGTGGTCCCAGGCAGAAGCCCCTGCTGCAGCTTCCAGCTGCAGGGATGGGGCTGGGTGGGCCCTGCTGTTGCGGGAATCTGCTAGACTTCCCTTGGGTCCTACTGCCCCTGGTTCTTGTCATTTTTTACAGGAGCCAAAGACAGATGAATATTAATTTTCTAAATTTTTAGGGGCCCTGCGGGCCAGGTAGAATGGCCCGTGGCCCATATTTTGCCCACCCCTGTACTAAAGAAATGCACATTAGGCTGCTTAATGCACAGTAACAAATGTGCACAGTTTTTAAATGACACTTAATGTGCGTGGTTTTTTACATGATATTTTAATGTAATAGCACTTTTTTTACATGATGCTTTAATCTGTGGTGAAATAGGCTAGTGCTCATTAAAATTTATGTGTAGACATTCCCAGTGTAAAGAGGCAGTTACAGAGGGAAGTGAATGAAACCTCAGTCACAGTAGATCTGAGACAATCCTCCTAAAACTAGGACAGTCTTTGAAACTGGGCTTTTTGATGATTTTTCTTGTGAACAGGAGGGGGAGATGCTGATTTGCTGGGTCAGATTTGTAGACACTCATTTTGGGTGGCAGCAGTTTTATTTAAATTGTCACCATGTCGCCTTTATTTTTCTTCCGTTCATTCCAAAGAGGATGAAATTCAATGATCTTCATGTACTGTAATATTAACTTGGGTATTCTGAGGTAATTAAAGAAATTTGTTGGTAATTTGACACTACTAATTTTTTTTGATCAACTTGTATTTTAATTTGTGTTTCACAAAAGTTAATATACCTTATATCTAAGAAATCTTATAACTACTCTGAAGGAATTTCAGTGAGGCTATGTATTATCAAATACCATCTTTCTAACTCATGTTTCAGATTCTCTACCACCAGTTCAGATAGAAGAACTTGAACTGTTAGGATGCAGTGCACAGACTGCATCAAGCAAAATTCAACGTAAAGGATGGCTTCAGGTATGGAGTAATGCAGAAGAATGTATTGTTATTCCTATCTCCTAGTAGTGCTCCTAGCTCTAGTGCTAGGTGTATATAAATACAGTTTCCTTAGCCTGAGCTATAATCAGTATGTCATTCTTGCATCATTGGACAGCAGTCCATATTACATATTGGTAGTGGACATTCTCTCTACAGGGAAGAGCCTCATCAGCAGCCTCACAGTTGTTTGCTTTACATTGGAAAAGAGTAACTTCTAAAAACTTGCACGTAATCAAATGAACTGAATATGCTGGTGAATTAAAAATGAAATACGATATGGTAGAGTGTTTTTGGACATGCTTGTGAGTGACAAGATGGCTACCCTTACCATAAGCAGTTGGTGCCTGTAGTTTCTATGGCATAACTCAAATAAAATATGAGTGCTCAGGACTAATAGTATTTTTAATGATATCTCTATAGGAAGAGAGACATGATTGTCAGCTACTGTTCTTTAAAGAGGCAGCAAAAAAACCCCTCACCACGGACAATTGGGCAGAACAACAGAACACATCCCCGCAGCCATTTTTAAGCTCGGGAATGCTGTTACACAAGATGCTGGAGTCTGCTGGAGCATGGTAATTACCATACTCCTCCAGGGTTGATTAATCGAGCCTGCTTCATTACAGCGCATTGGAACAGCCTCACTGCTTGTGTATAGGCACCCACTGGGTGTGTCCACATGTGCATTTATGCTGTCTTGAATTTACTGCGTGGTAAGTTACTGCGCAGTAAGCAGTAATAGGCTGGCGTCTATACATGTAGCCATTAAAGCACATTAACACTGTGTGTGGACTGACTTCATAGATTTCATAGACATTAGGACTGGAAGGGACCTTGGAAGATCATTGAGTCCAGCTCCCTGCTTCAGGGGCAGGAAGTCAGCTGGGGTCCTAGGATCCCAGCAAGATAAATATCCAAATTTCTCTTGAAGGCTGTAGCAAGGCAGTAAGGTGCCTGCTACTGAGAGAGCCAGGATAACTCCTCAGGTGCCGGTTGCTGAGGTAACTGGAGGGAACTAATGATTCCCACCTGTCTACCAGCTGAAGGAAGGGGCAGGGCCTGGCTCCTATATAAATCACAGGCAGGAGGCAGTTCCCTACCAGCAGCCAAGGAAGAGAGAGCTCTTGGTCATGGAAGAGAGAAGCCGGAGGCAGGAGCAACGTCTAACACAGATGCGGGATGAAGAAACCCCGGTAGGCTTGAGCATGATTGTAGCCAGGTGGCTTCTGTTTGTGTTATAGCCCAGGGGCTTGTGTTTGTTTCTGTTTGTTACCAGTGGTTTGGGTGAGGCTATTAGGGTTTGGAGGAGGCCTCATAGGGGCCTACAGCAGTGTGGGAACCCCAGCACCAGCAAGGGTGCAGCATTCGGGGTGCATAGATCCCAGCCCCAGAGAGGGACAGTTGAGAAGCCCCAGAGAAGGGGGCGTTGCTGAGAAGCCCCAGTGCAGGCGTGGTGAGCCCCGGAGAAGGGGGCAGTATTGTGGTGAGCCCCAGAAAAGGGGGCAGTGCTTGAGAAGGCCCTGGAGAGAGGGCGGCATTACCAAGAAGGCCCTGGAGAGAGGGCAGAGAGAGAGAGAGAGAGAGTGAGAGAGAGAGACAGGACTGCAGAGAGCCCAAGCACTAGAGAGGGCGCGGTGAGAGAGAGACCTAACAACGTCAGGCACATCTGCGAGGCTTAGGGCGTGGTACAGGGGTGGTAGGAGCCACGCGTAGCCCATAAGGCTGGAGAGTACGGAACACTCACTACTGTAGAGAATCTTGAGTTAACAGGAGAACCGTGGACCAGTAGATGAAAGGCAGCCTCCCTATAATATATATCTATATATAAGATCAAAGTCGTGGCAGGCGAGAATTGGAGGGTGCCAGTTGGCAACTTGACATGGAAATGGAGGCGGCAGGGGAGAGCATGGCAACCCTGACCGCCCTCCGGTTACAAAGGCATTAAAAAATGTAGCCCTGTGGGGTCAGGCCAGCTGTCAGGATCTCAATATTGCACTGTTAGACAGGAGGGTGTGACACAATTGCACGTATACAAACACACAAATCAATTAGGTGCATACACACACACACTACCAGCTCATGCCCATTGTGGCAGGGCACTGTGTGTGCCT